GCGCGCAAATTATGCTAATACCTTAATGACGGCAGCACCAGAATAATCTAATTTTAGTCCTCTCTGTCAACCAGCACGTTCTCTCACACGCGTGCGCGTGAAAACGCGTCCCCCATACGCGCGCGGTTGCGTGCAAACGCTTGTTAGTGATTTCTTTCTTTTGAACCTGTCAAATAGAATCGAAGCTTTGCGTCATCGTCGGTTGCATGGTTTGTCGAACTTAGCAGTCCTGTATACTTTTTTCTCAAAAAGTTGAAGTATTTGCCCTTTGGCTTTGCTTGTCGCATATTGAAGATGGTTAGTGCAATTATAAATGGGAGGGTAGAGGTAGATGAAAAATAGATTCGGATCACTAGCACCTCGTGGGTTTCAATCGATGTTTCTAGACGCTTGGCACATTGCATAACATCTTTCACCACACGAGATTCGTGTTTCATTTTAAGTTTTGTCATGTCCAAAAGGCTGTGAATTACACTATACTTTGCGCGCACCAATTGACGAGTCATTCACACAAAACAATTTCAAAAAGTTGATATTTCACTAATTTTATTTAGCGATCAGTCACATCATCATTGAATCCTTTTGCAAAGGTGTCTTCCTTTCGTGGTCAACCTCGTCAACGTGGTGTCGAAGCTGTCGAGGAAATTGAACTTTTGTCAAGCCTTTGACAACATGACGTTCACAAATGACTGCTCAGCAGGAACAAAGCTCAGCTTACTCAAACTTGGATACGCGCGCAAATCTGTTAGTTTCACTGGATAGATAACTAATAAAGAGCTGATGTTATTCTTTGATTATGCGTCCTAACAAACCAGCGGAAGACATTTTACTAAGGCTCTAACTGGGCACCTCAGAATTCAAGCATCGTAGATGTTCTTATGTTTTATTTTGTAGTTGAATTCTACAGACTAATTCGAACAACAGTATTCAAGAGTAGGTTGTATTTTCAGTGCGCTTGTGTGGTTGGAGTTGAAAGACCTTTTCTGTTTCTCGGTTAGTAATAAAATCAAGATTTCATTTTAGGAAACAAGATGCTTTCTTAAACACGGGACACTGGTTTTGATCCAGTTGAATCGATAATTAAAGTGCACTCGATAAATGCATGTTATATTTCTTACCTCACTCATAATATATTCTTTTCTTTGTGAGAACGTGTCCTCCTTTGATAATCTCGTAACCTTAAAAGAAAACATGTTTCTTGTAGCATAGCTTTGCTAACTTCATGTTAAAATTGATCATTTGGTGAATCAACTAAGAAGTCTTTACCTGTTTTACTCTTTCGCTGAATTTCGACGATTGCCGCGTCAGATGTTACGACCTTGAATTGATCCCTATTTCCCGAAATCTTTCGTCCTAACTGGACTTCAATTGCTGTAACAAGTACAAATAAATGTTGCCTGTTGGAATGATTCTGGAAAGGTGCGCGAACAAGAGGAATTCAGCAGCATTACCTCCGGTTGAGTCATAAATTATGATTGCCACAGGATGGACACTAAGATGGTGCTCCCAAATTCTGATCATTTCAACAAAATTGTTCTGCGGATCGTCCATGTTCAGTTCTAAGACTTCTCTCGCGATATGGATAAGTGGTATTTCTAAGTTGCATATGACGTGGATTCCAAGCGCTCCCACCTATTAGGTTTATCGGCGCCAATGACGTGTTTGCGCAGACAAAAGCGCCCAGAAATATCTTTTGTAAACAGATTTTTGTTGATATTGGGTGGTTACCCACGTCGACTAATAACCGCAACAATTTCGCGCGCGTAGGGCGTCTTTTTCGTCTCGCCCCGTTTCCTGTTACATGGACAGAGCTATTTTTATTCCCGTCACTTTTGAACGCGAACAAAGAAATCTAAGAATCTTAGTAACGCAGAAATTGTGTAGCTGATTGCCATGTTCATCCAGTGAAGGATAGTTAAGTCAAAATATTTGCCCTCGGGCTGCTTTACAGACCTGCAGCTCTAATTATGTGATCTCTCTCCAACTGTAACTACAATTAGTTTCCGTGCAAAGCAAAGAGGAGGGACTGAAGATTCAAAGAGGTGTTATTTTGATCACTGGACATGGAGATGAGCATTTATGTCCGCAACTTCGTCATGTTTTGAAAGATAGCTCTCTAGTCCTCGCTGATTCGTTGCCCCTTTTTTGGTCGCTGTCGCCGGAATGTGTTGTAGTTCGCGCAAAGCTAAAAGCTAATGCAGAGGTGCCGAAAGTTGTGCGCGTAAAAGCTGATGGCTCGCCTGTCAAATGTTCGAACGCAGTTTGACCCGAGCGCTTCTATATGCGCGCGCGAAACTTGCTCGAGCATTTACACGGGCCATTTTACGCACAAGTAGATGGTATATTTTAGGTCTGTTAGCCAGTAAAACTCGGTCATGGGAAGGACGCATGATAAATCGCTTTAAAAAAATTACACATACACTCGTTTCTCCTTTCAAAATGTGTTCTTTATAAACTTAACACTGTAGAATGCTTTGAGCAGTTTGCAGACATCCAAGCTTTCCATAATAATCTGCAAGCAAAATCACAAAGGAGAACATTATAATCGATAAATCGACAAATTGTAGCCATTTTAGAGAAAAACATGCATCTAGTTACAGACTTTCTCTTAAATCTCGTAAAGTACAATTTGGATGAGTGAGGTGTTTCACTTCCTTACCTTAATACTTTGGAATCTTGTCCATTTTCTCAACTTTTATCCAAGTGCAACAATCGTCGACCCGATATCCTGTTGTGAAAAATAAAAAGAAGTATATTTTGACGTTGAAGTGATTTGATTCACTTTACGACTCAATTCTCGATACAATAGAAACACTCTGCCAAACAAGCAAGCCAAGAGAATTAAGAAAATTGTCGACTAGAAGACATTGTCGTGGAGGAGTTTAAGCAAACCACAGGCGTAACGCCAACAAGAGCGTCGCTAAAAACGTTCCATGAGAAGACCAGTATCTGTACTCGTGCGTTATTTATCTCGGTACATTTCTTTGCCGTCTCTGAAAAACAACTTGAAGTGATCAAATCTGTGTTACGCCGGCGAGAACGGCAACCACATGGTCAAGACTTAATTTTTCTGTTTAGAATTAAATGCTGTAACTCGATATTCATTTGAAAGATGGCTTTACATGCGGCAGGTAAATTGAATAACTGTAAATGATGCGGAAATTGTTTGTTAAAATATCAACTCCTGTTTTAATTCACGCGGTACTCGCCGTCGCAGTCGTAGTTGTTGAAGCTCCCTTTGAAAAGAAATCCATGGCCGTGTGCGAACAGAAAGGAAAGTTAATAATAGGTAATGTGATCATCCATACAAACCTCCTCCTGGATCTCGCGTGATGTGGAATTCATATCCTCCCTTAGCTTTGACTGTTAATTTAGTTGGTGTGTTCGTTTGTGTTCGTGGTGGCGTTTTTCGGATAATTCGTCCAGTCAGGGCCGTGAAATCTAACAGAATTCAACTCAAATCTAAATAAATTTAAAACTTTCTACAAAGCGAAATTGTGGTATAAACACCAACCTCCAGTGCTTGAGTCATACTGTAACATGACATTGGAACAGCACAGAGGAAATCGCCTTCCAACATGCACATCTTCAAAAAAGTCGTTTGTAGGATCGTCTGGATCAAAAGGTGGCATTTTTCGTCAGATCGTTTTGATAGATGTTTCCGTCTTTTATAGCGAATCAATAGTTGTCTTCGCGTGAGCAATGTTATTCTGAAATCTGCTTCGCTAAACAAAAGTTTATTCAAATTAGGTCTTTAGGACACCGACCCCATGGGTTGTATCTTTTAGCTCAGTGGGCGGAGCAGGAGGAAGGGAGAAAACCGATTTTGAACAGATCGTCCTAAGATCGTTTTCACATGAAGTCATCAAGTTC